TGTGAAGTGGTGCAATTTGCAAACTGCGAAAATGTGGGGTTATATTGCCATTTCCATCGCAATCCAGCTAAGATGTGGGAAGTACAACATCAATTTTCAGTATTTGATATCAACTACCAAAATTTGCACTGAAATAGTGAACATAGCCAAAATTGCAGCATCAGTGTTCATCAAGCAGAAACTGATGGTAAACATGTTTACGGAAGATATTGAATTTTAGCATGCGTCATTTCAGCGCTGTCGGAAGTGCAACCGTCAATACTACGCCTTGCAACCGTCGTAGTACCCTAACCGATTGTTAATCATACGTCACACCTGTTGTTTAGTCTCCCTGGTATGCAAATGCCGATTTATCATTTGTTTCTTCCGCGTCTTAAACAAAGCGTGTGACAGCAACAATTCACACAACTTTTTTATGAAAAGAAAACAGGCATTCAAAATCTCTGCCATTAATTTGCTTCAGCACAAATGATACTCAAATTTAAACAGTACGAAATAAATCTTCTTTGACGTGTTCAGCATCTGAACATGGAATGAATTACAAGGCTACTACTTTGGAAAGTAGCTTATCAGCACAATATAAAAAAGAGCTGTTATTAGAGTATTCAGAAACAAGGAAACCTTACCTTTCAGATTAATAACGCTTATTCTTCATTCTTCAGGCGTCATCAGAACCACTGGATGAACCCAATATTTTGGGGATTGCGCAGCAACGGTTGATCGGCTGTTCTCTTTTTGCCCCGTCGTCAAGCTAATCTCAACTAAATGACTGGATGGAAGCAGTTGCGCTTGATCACAAAAATCAATATGTCTGAAGCTACCAATATGGGCAGCTGAGAATTATGTCTATCTGTAGAAGAGAGTCGTGCCCACAAATACTTGAGCTATATGCTGCCATCCATTCGGCGAATGACTCATTGAGATGATCAGCACCTTTTTCTTTTCTAGCTCCGAGTTACAAATAAATTATGTCCAGCCCACGGCATCATGACTACACCCGAGAAACCACATAAACATGATTAGCAGCATTCTTTGCTCCACGAAGACATAATAACGCAGTAGTATTTTGTAAGACATAGCTTCATAAAGAAATTTCATAAAGAAATTCTGAGTGAGTCCCAAAATTGCGCAAAGTAGCGTACTCTGTTCGACATTCTATTTCAGACCAGTCGAAACAATGAAAGTAGAACACAAACTTGTTTTGTAGCGATCTGCTGACTGTTGCCTTCTTTTCTATTACTTTACTTTTTGCATACGCTTATGATTAATGACTACAGCTTAATGATTCTGTCTCTAGTTCCTGAAAATTCTAATGAAAGGAAATAAATGTGACTGTGGTATGATATATAAAGTAGAGGAATAGACAAAGGAAGTACGTGTGAGAGAAATATGACATGTCTTTATATCATGACGATCTTTTTACTTTTCTCAGTCCAAACTATTAGGAGTCTCAACCTGGCTCTGCCAAAGTACAAACCAAACTTCTAATCATTGCGCTGCTTTAAATATACACTAACCGAAAGGCAAATGATGGGTCTAGAAAGAATAAACAAATCCTGAGTACAGTTTTCTGATAGTAATGATATTTGGTAGGGGGCAAATGATGGAAAAAGATAAAAGATGAAAGTTGCAAATGAATAAGAATGATCACAAAAAGACGAAAAGTTTTAGACTCTGATTTCAGGCTGCAACAAAATTCTTAGAGCAATGAGGAACAATCTAAAACATTTAACACATGTGGAAATATCTCACGAAAATACACAAAAGAGAGTAGTGGAGATTACAACATCGTAAAAGAAACGATGAGACAGTTTTTCGATTGCGTAATGAAACAATATCTTTCACAGCCATGGCTTCTAACAGGAATAAACTGAGAAATGCTAAGGTCGCAGGATGACGTAAGGGCTACGCTCCATTGCGTGCATCACGCTGGAGAGTGAACTGCTAAGCACAGAGAGGCGCAGTCCATTTCTAAGAGAGGCTTGCGTCAGATATCATTCTCATACCACTTCTCCATTCTCTTATAGTCAGACTTAATTTGTTTGAAAGTTAACGACCAGCTACGACTTTCAAGACAAAACAGCTCCAATGTTATGGGTAACCTTCGATACCGCCGTTAAACATACGGCATTATAAATAACTATGCAAGATTGAAACGGCGTAAATGCAGAGTACGAAAAGAAAAATGTACTTCTCACTGCATTATTGCTCTGCCTTCTTGCTTCTAGTGGCATAGGGGAACATTTAAGTAGGCCATGGTTGCATAGTATTTTAGTGCCTACTGTACAATGAACGCATGGCCACGTCTCTTAGTAGGTCGGTTGAACAAAGGCATGCTGTAGCCAAAATCCATTTCCCCATGTTCCGTAGGCAAATATATCGCAGGGAAAGCGTTTTGGCTACAGAATGCTCTTGTTCAACCCAACTAAGAGAAGTGATCATGCGCTCAATGCGCATTAGGAACTGTAGCCTACTTAAATGATCCCCTAGGCGGCTAGAAGCAATGAGGAGGTACAATGACGAAAAAACATTTTTTCCACTTGACATTTGCGCCATTTCAATTCCGTGTCGTTGTCGATTTTCTTGGCTTGTTGCGTAGAAACAACATGTGCGAAACTTGCTAAAGAAAATTAATGGTTCAGAGAAATTTTTCTCTTTTGTGATTAGAAATCGACATAGGATTTTATGCCGAACTCTTATCACCTGCAATGTGCTTAAATCTTCGCCTTCGTCGCACTGCTTGAGACAATAAGTCGACATCGTACATTTAGAGAGATATTGTATTTTTAACGCATATTTTATCCTGCCTATGATTAGAGAAGACGCTCATCTAACATAAAAGACGAAAACTCGACAAATTGAATGATTTTTTCTGCTTAATTTTCTATTTTTTCAACTGAAAATGCCGTAAATCATTAAACCCAAACAACTTTATGCAAATGAGAAGGTAATGGAATAGTTAAAGACGTAGAAATCCACAAAGATAATTCTATGGCAACTGAGCTATCTGGGCATTCACAATATTATTATTAAGCAGTGCTTCTGCAAGGAGTATTGCTGTGTATCACATTCGCCTGAACCGGGACAACTCTCATGGCGTGATAGAACTATGAGCAAAAGTAAATCTTTACATTATCAAACGGCTCGACGGGAATAAATCTACGTTTAATGCTCAAGAAAACAATAGCAGACGCAAAATGACATCCTTCAGGCAGAGGCAGAGTGGCTTTGGAATATTATTATCGTTCAGACAATGGAAATATTTGACAGTATGCTGTAGTGATTGACATTATATGATCGATGGCCTTCAACTTAAACGACCCACACAAACTTATGAGATGTTCAGGCAAATCATTTTCTGCTCATTTATGATCCGTATATGGGATAATAAAGATTTACATTAGAATTAATAGTTGTAATAAAGCAAATGGATTGCAAAATACAAGCCAGCAACAGAAACTGAACAGGTAATGAAAGAGATGCATTCGCTTGAGTGATTAAGTGCCATCAGAATAACGTGCAAATAAAAAACTGGAATAGCAATGAAAGACATGGATGCGCCGTTTCTCAAACGGCACAAATGCAAGCTTAGAACTGTAGATAGAAATAATTTGATGATAGGTCCTTAGCATTCGATCTGAGCTGTATTTAGGAAAAGGCAACCACTTTTAACGTCAGAGTCTGATACCTGAATTCATTTTCAATATCTCCATTAAATTTGTTCTTCCACACAGCCAAAACAAATAGAAGATCAATTAGACAGGCAGTTTTGACAACAAAATCAGATTAGGTCACGAAGTAAATGCCATACTGCCCTGATGACCGATACGCCATAGTCGCAAGATACGAAATAACCGCACTGCTCATGATGCTTAGATCCTTGCAATAAATATGAGATCATACGCTAAAGTTTATGTCTATCTAAACTGCAAATAGAGATTTCAGAACTTCCTGCCCTGGACGTGACCTGGAACAGTTGCGGCAGCCTACCAGAAAAATGACTTATTTTAATGATAACTTACTGTTTGTTTTGAAAGATTAACGTTTAGCACAACTTTTGGTGAAAAATGTGACTCAAGAATAATCGACTGTACTGTTAGCAGCATGGATGCCACAATCTGAAAGGTTTTCTTCTGTGTAGTTTATTCGGCCATTTTAACGGGCTAGTATTAGATCGTTAGGTATATGCAGATTACGGTATTTCCAGAAATAACTATCCAGTTTTCGCACGATTCTTTCTCTGATGATTTTTTCTGGGCCTTTTGCGTAGTGATGACCTTATTGCTTGGTCCCACTAACGACTGATTTTAAATTAAATGCATTTGTGTCATAATTCGATTATAGTCGGCTTAAGACTATTGAATCGTTTAACATCGTATTTTAACTGTTTATATGAAACTAATTTTAATCTCATCAGCTGATTTGATACGTATGCGCAGTAGTTATATCCAATATTGCGCTTTCTAATAGGTGCTACGTTGAATAGTGCTCGGTTTAAATTGTTGCTTTCAGGAATTGGTTATTTGTCCTAGCTGATTACTTCACAAGTCAGAAAAAATGAATCCCTTAACGTAAGTTCATTTATAATATTCGGTTCGATGTTTTTGTTTTGTGAATTTATAATAAATTGCAAATGTTGTAGCATTGCACGAAGTTTTATTTTAACTGACTGGACACAAATAGGGAGGAGAAAGATGAAGGGTAGAAAAGATTTTAGGAGAATGTGGATAGATCATAAATGGTGTAGGTGACGAAGAAAATAAATAACAGAGTTCAGAGAAGGCGAACATAGTGGAGAAAAATGAAAGGAAAGAACATTGAAAGTAGAAAAGATAAAATAGAAAGAAAAAGCAGAAAAAAGGAAAGGACTAAAGGGTGTGACAATGGTGAAAAGTAGGGAAAATAGGCATGTGGTGCACACAGTAGTAGTGAAAAAGAAATCGTCGTTGCCATCATCGTTGTGAATAAGCAGTTTTTACAGAAGAACGCTTCTTTCCACCAGGAACCCAGTTCTCTGAGATTTCTGGAGACGATGATTAATTTTCGTGTCATTCTCTGTTATAT